AGCTCTGCTATGCCATATCTATTAAGATTTTTTTTCTTCTTTAATTTTCTTCGCTTTCCGATATTCTTTTAATCGAACTCGCGCCACATCCGTGCACACGATACACGCCAACATTGTTCTCTGTAATATGGGCCCTCGGCGTATGCATTTCTCCAATAATGATCGACACGAAGTGACGCAGTGCTATAAACGTAAAAAGGAAAATTTGCATAGCTCCTGGCGAAATTGACCGCAGCAGAGAGCCTGGGTCTTCTCGATTTGGCGTACCCGCAAGCGGGAATAGCATCGCGCCCGTCAAGGTAACAATCCTTTCGTAACGCAAACACAATACGATAACAGTAATCAAGCCTCCTAAAGGCCGGCGAGTGAAATGCAAAAGCTTTTCGCGCGCGGCAGCACGCATTTACGTAATCATCTTAATTGCGCAAAAGCGGCATTTAATTAAATGAAGCCGCTCGCTCGCTCACTCGCTCGCTCGGTCTGCCGTACCGAAAGTCTGGGCTCGTACAATTTAACCGCGCGCGCCGCATTCGCGAACGGCACTGTAATCCACAGCAGAATGCAAAAAAGCAGAAGAGTAATAAGGGCTTTTGGCGTTCCGCCGTTGGCGAGAGCTGCGCGAAGATAAGCTCATTCGCAGGTCAGACGGCCAAGTGGACAAAGAGGCGTTAATTGAATGTCTTTGTCGGGCGTTGCGCGGCGTTGCGGGGAAGCTTTTTAGTTTGGCGCGCGCGTGATTAAGGGGGACATTCTTTCGGATCGTAAACGGAGGCTAGCCCTCGCTTATTTGCTCGGCGTCGGGAACTCGTCGAATACGGGACGCTTCGAGCAATTTGTCGGGAAATTTTCGAGCCTTTGCAACAAAATAGCCGCGCTGTTAATTAAACGCAAACTCGGCTGGCAAAGCCGACCGAGAAATGGCGAACTGACGCGACCGCAGGCTTTTCGTTTTCCTTTTCTCTTCGCGATTCCTTCGGCGTTATTACTGTTTTAACGTTTCTCGCTGCAATCTCCGGATTAATACGTCAAGTAGAGAAGTGAAAGACGAAGAAAGTCAGCGCGCAAGTTTTCGTATTCGAAACGTAGATTTGCAAGCTCTTTTCCCCGGCCATTCCGCCCGATAAACAAGTTGGCTGAAGAACGATACGACCGCGTCGTAAAAAGGCCAACTTTTCATTCCTCTTTGAAAGTTCATTGAATCGCGAGCGCTGGCAGCAGTGAGCAAAGTGTACAAGTTTCCATGTCCCCCTTGCTGCCGTACAACCTCGTTCGCACTTCCGTCGCGCGTGAACTTGCAAGCACGACTAATTGTATAAACGAACCAAGCCATTATCCTCTCTCTCTCTCTCTTCTTCCCCGCTGACGCTACGCGCAGACAAGAGTTATTATCCCGTACACTTTCTTGTTGCTTTAGAATTACAATGTCTCATTATTATTCGTCGCGCCGACAACGTCGCTGGCAGCGTTGAGAGATGCGGCTCTAAAACTTTTCGACGAAGGTGAGACGAGGGAATCCACTTTCGAACGTTGTTTTTCTCTTTGAATTACCTGCTTTGTTTGATTATTTTTTCCCGTTCCCCCATTGGTCGGCTCATCTTAAATTGATTTATTACCGACATTATTTATTTATTTATTTCTCTTGACGTCCAACCAAAACAATAGCTTTCATTTAATAAACTCAAAGTTAAATCACAAGAACAATTACGAAAGCAATGGAGTGCTACGGCAATTTCTAAGCTAGCAATAATTATATATGCGCTATTATTTCCTAAACGGCCCGATGACACGTGCCAATGATTGGAGGTAAAACCATGCCCATTAGATTTAGGCTAATTGCAGTTTTCGACAAAAGCTATTGTGCTCAAAACGCATAAATATCACCCCAGGGCTCAAAAAATCACACTCCTTATCCCGCGCTTAATTAACGGTTCAATTAATAGCCGAGAATCAAAACTCGCTCTCGGTCGATAATGATCTAGCATAAATCTTGTAATTATGCAAATCGAATGCATTGACAAGGGATAAAGAAAGCCGCGAAGCAAAAAGAAAAAAAAAATCAAATAAAATAAAAGAAAAAAAAGAAGGCGAAAGAGAGCGAGCAGCACACACTCGGCGTAATGTTCGCACAATGGGCGGCGCGTTGTTCGCCTCCTTTCCCACCATTGTGCACCGTACGCCCGCGCGAGTCACACACACGCGCGCACGCGCGCACGCACGCACGCACGCACGCACGCACGCACGCGGGCGCGTGCAGCACGAAAAGAAGAAGACGAAGGAACAAACGCGATGGTCAGCGCCACTTGGAAATTATCGGCTCTCCGCTCTTCTGCTCTTACGGGCTTCAAGCAAGCAGCATACTTGTTTCGCTTTTTCTCACTTTGCCGCGCCGCTGCTTTTAATTGATCTCTTACGTGGCTGGCCTTTTTCTCTTCGACATGACGCTTGTTAGAAGGCCTACCTAGGCATCGACGTTCCTTTTTGCTCGGCGTCGATGTAATTTTTATTTGCCCGCGGGGGATTTATTATCGGCGCATTCATCTTCGGAATTTCGCTTCAAAGTTGCGCGAGAAGAAGTTGATGGCGAGCGCGGATAGCCATTGGGTGGTTTCTTCCTTTGGCTGCCGCGCCGACTTCAAGGCGGCACACCATGACTCCAGTCGATCAACAAATCCGAATCATCTCGATCACTTTGTCGAAATGAAAATTGCGTTTGCCGATAGTCCATAGGCATGGCTAAAATGTTGATCGGGCTTCCAAAACTATTCCCATTATTTTGATAACTCGAACGCGTTGCCGCTCGCGCCTCGCAGCCGTTCGCGCAGCCACAAAGCCATTAATCAATAAAACGCCAAAACTCTCTAGGCTACGTACAAACGAGGCAGCGGCAACGCGAAAAACCGATACCCCGCGCGCGGCCCAAGATACCGATGCGCGAAAACTTTGGAGCAGAGAGGCCGACAACTTCGCGGGCTGCACGATCTATCGTCGCGAGCTGCGGCGCAACGATCGGCACGTCAAATACCACTAAAACAGACAAATAATTGGATTGCGCGGTCATATAAATTAACTTCAATGCGTAATGACGTTGTCGCCGTAGAGGCGAAACCGATATTCATGAATTATTCAAGGTATGTTTGCGCGTGCATTATGTGGATGAGAGGAAGCATAATTTCATGCGAATAACTGTGATTACGCGCGCGACTCGATCGAGCATTAATAGATTTGCGATACGATGTCATTAGGATGGTTATATTCGAATCGAGAAAGTGAAATAGCCAACGTCAAAAATCATGTTTGCAATAGAGTCGCGGCTGCTGCGAATGATTTTTTCGATGATCGACTCATTGTTTATCCAGCTGTTGTACCAGGTAACGAGTGATTGTTACGCGTTTGCGTCACGGCATTTGATTATAATTCACAAACACGACGAGCGTTCGACTCAACGTGTATCCGGTTCTTTTTTTTCTTCCGCTTGGCGTTTCTCGACATAATTTTCGATGCTACGCGGGATCACCCCGTCAGCATATTTATTCGCCTATACAATGGACTTCTCGAGTATTATATTCGTGCCAGAACAACTGGTGCAGCGTAAATGACAATAGGCGTAAAAACCACACGTAAACGCCATATGCGCGCTAAAAGAAAAAGAAAGAAAAAACTGAAAATGACGGCACGCTGCGGCAATCGAAATTGGCGCGCAAGCGAAATTTTCGAGCCGGCGCGTATGTAGCAGTACAATGGCGCGCCTCGAAAAATAAAGAAGAAAAGGGGAACCTCAAAGAAATTTTCTACGAAAAACCGATCGCAATATTCCCTCGAGAGCGAGAGAGAGAGAGAGAGAGAGAGAGAGAGGAATCTGGCCGCGCGATCGCGCTTTTGTGCACCGAGCGAGAGCGAGAGAGAGTGCAGCCCAGCGAACCACGATGACTAACGAGCGAGTCTGCGGCGACGCTGAGATGAATAATAATGAGAGCGTCTTGTGGCCCTTGGGAAGCACACACGTACACACACTCCAGCTGTGGGCTCTCCAAATTTGGATGGGATCCCTTCTCTCGCGTTGGAATTTTTTCGGCGTTTTTCACGGTCGCCCTCTATATGTACCCCGGAACTTTTTGATGGAATTTTCGGCTTTTAATCTCTGATGGATTTCTTTTCTCTTCGACGATTTTCAGAGCGTAACTGATTATATAATAATTCGATCGGGATCGAGATTAAACACTCGTTTCGGTGTTTCCGTCTTTTGCTCTCATTGCTGACTTCTAGTTTTCCTTATTGTGTTATGGCGCGAATATACGGCTTGAATATCCCGTCCGATATGTGATTTCACGTAACGCGATTTCTCGAAGAGCTCATTAGTCATTGAAACGTCAATCGGCATTTCCAATGAACAAAAAACAAACAATGGAATTACCTGCCACGTGATAATGACGCAAGTCTATACAAGCCTGCTCCGAACACGCGGGCTCACACGGTGTGCGCATGGCACTAAAGAAAGCATCGCTGAGCTGCGAGAGTGTCAAATCTATATAATAGCCAGGGGAGGGGCTGTATCGTTGGCGCGTAAAATCGGCGCGACAAAGAGACTTGGAAAAGCACTTAGCGCCGAATAAATCTATCAATTAATTCGCGCACACAAGGAACGAACAAATTCTCCGTGGGCATTCGTCCGTCAAATCCCCCTCTTTAGATCTTTTTTTTTTTTCTTCCTCTCGGGGGAATTGCAGTCCCGGCGACAAGCGGCTCAAGAGCGAGAGAGAAAACGGCGACAGGAAGAATGTGGGCCGAGGGTTTATAGACCCCCTGCCTGCGCTCAAAGTTCAACAGGTATGGAGTCGCTCTTTCTTTCTTCTATGGAGGCGAGGAGACCACACGGAAATGTTCTCGTAGCGAGCAATTTTTGTGTTTCGTGGAAACACAAAAATGCACTCTTTGTCGCACTGACTATGCGCGTAATATCGATTTGTTGAGCAAATAACGTGTAAAATTAGAGGGCTTCTGACCTTTTCTTCGAGTGACGGTCCCTTCTCCATCGCGTGCATCACGGCATCCGAAATGCGACTGTCTAAATGTCGCACTGCCTTTTCAACATTTAGGGCTAGTGGATCGTTGTGTCCGTCCACTGCCACGACTAGACGCTCTACTGTCTCCACGTACTCTGACCAAGCGAAGTCCAGCTCCGAGGCCGGTTCCGTCAAACAGCCCCTGTGTTGCATACAGTTTTTACATTTGCATTTCTTTATTTTCTTTTCAATTAGTGAGTAAAGTCTACTTGGTTTTGTTATCGAATCAATGGTTACAATAGCCGTATACTTGCTCTTTTTATGACTAAGTGTGTATAGAAATAGCATTGAATCATTGAATAATTCGCATGAGAAACCCAGTTAAATTCTATTCGGAAAGCTACGAATATCAATAACAATGAAACTCGGAAATTCTATATGTAATTACAAAATAACATTCGATATCGGAACGCTGCTGAGCTCTATATTTGCATTATTATTGAGTGACCTACAAACAGATTTACAAAACGTACCTCATAACATTGGTACAGAAACCACGGCACGGCATGACATCATGAGCAACAGCCCGACATTTGGGACAATGAGTCATCCTGAGCAGCGCCTTGTAGCAGGTTTCCTGCTGCACGCTTGTCCCCGCAAACAGTACCCCGTCAGTCTTTTCCAACACGCTCTTGCCCAAAGTCAAGGCCTGTATCAACACCCTCGTCGCCTCCAAACTTTTACTCAAGGACTGTCCAATTTGCTTAGGAATGTCACCGAACGGCTCGATTTCGTCCATCGTCTTGTACAAGCAGCTCTTGAAGTTTTCCGTGAAGTCGACGTCGTGCATCGGGTTAATCGCTCGATGATAGGCTATCGGGAAGAGTTTTTGGAAAAATTCAGCGAATCTGTCGTGCAGCTGCTCCTGCGTCAATGGCTGCTGCAGATTTTCGGCCGTGTTCGGTGGCGACACGTAGTCTACGATCGCTTGATAAAGATTCGATATGGATGGTTTGCTTTGCACAGCCATCGCGCGATACACCTGGTTGAACAGCGTCAGTGTTTTGTTCTCCGATTGACGGGCAAGCATTGTCACGGTTTCTGTAACAGAAACAAAAACAGTTTGCGTTTTAATGTCGTTTCGGATCAAAAATGGCTCGTCCATATTGGCATTGCACTTTCAATCAATTATTTCGTTTGTTACATTACGTAAGTCGCATATTACGCGACGGTTCCTCGTTTCGAGTGAAAGCTCGTGAGATAACTAGGTCCATAGCTCGTGTTACATTAAAAAGGAATACTGCACAGACAGGACACACACGAGAGGCAGTCCGTGTGCGTGTTAAACAAAACAAAAAAAATATCAAACGCGTAGATTTATGTCGAACGGATGGGACTCATTTCCGGCTAATTATCAATTAACCGATACTTGTGTTATTTTTTTCGCGTCAATTATCAAGCTTCATTCAAGCCGCTGAAAAAGAAAGCCAAATCTTTACTTTCGATACAAATCTCATTGTCTCTGTCACTTTTTTCAGTTCAATTTTGCCAGTCTGTCAATTAGAAATGTTATCAGCAAGTATATTATCGATTCAAAAGATTATTAATCGTAAATTTATTTCAAAAATTAAACTCATTTGTGATCACTTTGTCGTGAAGGCAAATTCGGTTCATTCGCTTTTACAAATGGATTCTCATTCAAATTCTCATTCATTCCGATATCGTGACACTCCATACACGAAAATGTTTCTACGCCAATCTAACTATCGCATTCGATGTTTAACTTCAGCATATGCGTCTAATTTACTTTTGGTTTTGCGTTTAGTTATTTAAAAGAAAGGAGATCTTGCGACTAAAGCTGTGACCTCATAAGTGACGATTTAATAATGTCGCACTTGGGGCGTGCAAGATGTAAACGATAGAAACACGCAAAAAGAATTGCGACTATGTGTTACTGAATTAGTCCGAAAGAATTCCAGACGCAGACTGTCGTATAGCCGGGCGCACAGTCCGTCTGTCCCTCACCAGTCGGATCTCTATTTCGAGAGCACAGTTTGTCTTTAATTATTTTTTGCCATCGACCGATGTAATCAGCAAATAAACTGAACAAATAAATGAGTAAATATCAGGATTTTCGAGCCGTCCTTCTCCGAATATATTTTCGGTTTATTTTCATTATGACTTGAACTTTGAGCTGTTTCCGTTGAATAGAATTGCGGAGGCATATAATTCTTTTCACCTATTCAAATTCAATGTTAAGTCATTAATGGAAAAATACGGTAATAGTAGTAATGCGTTAATAACTGACGTCAATTTGAACAATAGGCTGTTCTACGGTATATTACATAAGCTTATAGCTTATTATTCAAGTTATATCAATTTCAATAATAAGCAGTAAGGCTCGACTACTGATAACGGTATTTGTACTCTTTGGAACGAAAGAAATATCTCATACACTAACTTTTCTCAAATACGTACAACACATGTCATAATTCCATTAATAACGGTGATATAGCTAAAACAAAAAGACACAAAAAACGTAATTTGATCTTACTTTTGCACTTTTTAGGTAAAAAATGTAATTTTTCCAGACTTATAAAAGAATCATTAATTAACATTATTGGCAATATATTGAGCGGCTCGAACAATTGGTTATTATCATCTTGCCTTACCATTTTCGGCTATTACGATACAAGTACATTCAGTCAAGTATTTTCTAATTGTAAATTTTGATAAAAATTACAATGTTTCAAACTAAAATGTATATTTCAGATTATCGACGATAGTTGAAAACGCACTCAGTTACTTTGAACCCAATTGATAAATACAAATTAAATTGATTGACTTTCAATGTTAAACCTGCAAGATTACGTTTTCGACGTGTATAATTATTCGGTGAGAAGAGCGATGATTATGAAACAATTACAAATTTGCTCGTTGAGATTAGTAGTATTTATTTAGAATAGGGAATATCTCACGGTATCAAAAGAGCTTCCTACTAGAACGATGTTACCGTTATCTATGTGAATCGTTTCCTTTTATTCCATTTATTTATCAAAGTAAGTGTTAACAGTGGCATAAATAACATTACAACGATTCTTATGTGAAATTCATTATATTGTTTATTCAATTAGAAATCAGGGCTATTTTTTTATTACAATACGTCATATTCGCTCGGAATATGCTTATTGGATAACTTATAACCAAATCCATTGGATTAAATACACAAGGAAAACTTATTATCTATTTGGCCGATGTACTGAAATATTTAGTTTTATTTTTAATAAATACTATACCCCTAAACTTGCCGCTCATGTTATTGTATGTGAAAACAACGCTAGGCGATGAAAAAAGCAGTACCAAAGTGCGGTCGCCCATTTAGGCACTAATAGTGTTTCTAAACTGAAAATTCATTATCCAATTACATCAATTTCCATATCCAAATACTAATAAATCGAATAAAAAGAAAATGAATACAGAACAACACAAAACTGCTAAAAGATTTTAACATAATATATTATTAATGTTGTTAATTTATTGTGTTAAGAAATTTTTAAAACTTGTAGAATGTATACGTACTAAAAAAGTTAATCATACCTATGTATATTACAATATTGTAAATAGAAGACATTAATTCATAAGTTGTGAATAATCATGTATTGTAAATAAATATTTGGAAATAAAATTTACCACAGCCTCACACTGGTAAATTTTTACTTCGGTAGAAATATTGTTGTAATATTAATTTATATGGTCAATAAAAGATAATTATTAATATTATAAATAAATATTGAAATGCGCCTATACATAGATATCAATCTTCCTCGTCTTTTAGGCTGATTCGCGTTTTATTCATGTTATCGAGATAAGCGTCACTTGTATTTGAAATTTTTTTCCGGTTTAAAGATAAACTCACGGTTGAGAAATATTATTACCGCGTTCGCGAGGACGCTGGTTAGCCTTGCTGATCATCAGAGCATACATCTCTGCAACACACCATAGTATTTATCTCTTGAAATATTATCATAATATTCTATCAGTTATTATAAAAACATTTTAATGGATATTGCATCGCAGCTGACACAAGATTTACAGTACTATACGCATAGATGACAATAGTTTTGTTATCATTTCAAGTGAAGCGTAATGATCTAAAGTGACAATTGATATCAGCATGTATTTATTGAATTTGACATTTAGACACACGAAGAATAGCATTAGAGATGGTATATAAGAGGCTACAAATTCTGCTCAGTTCAGTGTACTTGATCATTTATTAGTAAAGAATATGAACTTCTTAATTACGGGACTACTCTTGTATTGTGGCATTGCTGGTACATACTCGAACGTTTAATAAGCAATAGTTGTAGTATTATTTTTAACTATAAAAATATTATTTAGTAGCACATTAAATCGTTCAGATAATATAAATTCCGAAACAATAAAATAGAAGCCGCAAATTGTTTTCATTCTACTAAATCAACTTAAACATAAACTTAAAAGTTTTCTTATGATATCTTAGGAACTTGTGACTTTTAATAATATAGATTTTATCTTAGAATTTAGTTCTTATATAAATAAATATTAATATTCACAGTTGGCAATGGTAAGCTGCGAAATCGCATAGCTAACCAAGGCGAAGTAGCGTCAGATGGGGAATTTCCTTATCAAGTATCAATTCAGTGGGATTATCCGGAAACCCACATGCACATGTGTGGTGGTTCGCTTATTTCGACAATCCATGTGCTAACAGCAGCTCACTGTTTTCAAGAGGACATTGATGCTGGTGCGTTCTCGATACCTGTTAGTGTCGAAGTAGGTTCAACAGTTATAGGACAAGGACAGAGGTTCGGAATCAAAAGAGTATCATACTATGCTGGTTACGGGAATCGTTTGTCAGGAAAATCAAACGAAAATGACATCGGTGTGGTCCACGTAAGTTTTTACGTAAATTAATTTAAAGTTTTTTTAACTTGATATTGATTTCATGTGGTTTTATATTAAAGCTTTCATCGCCCGTCACAATCTCAAGTACAGTGGCTACAATAAACTTGCCAGCACCCTATACACCGGTTCTTCCACTAACTCCAGTAATTCTGACTGGTTTTGGCACTTGGTACTTTGGAACTTCCAAGGTATCAGGTCCAATGTCACCAGTGCTCAAGAGATTGGATGCTGTGATTGTATCCACAACTGAGTGCGATCAATATTATAAGGAAAAAATGGGAAGTTACGTGAGTTCTGATAAAATTTGCGCAAAGAGAGGGCCAGGATATGGCGCGTGCAGGGTAACTATTTTTAAAAGATTTTTATTTAATCACCCCATAAATATCCAAATAAATCTATTATTTTTCAAATGCAGGGTGACAGTGGTGGTCCCCTAGTAGACAGCACGAAAAGCATAGTCCTTGGTGTCGTCTCCGGCGGCGATGCAGAGTGTTCTAACGGGCAACCAGATACCTACACTGATGTATCCCAATTCATTCCCTATATTTATGAAGAACTATACTATGTCCCAGGGACTGTTAATCAACATCCAGCAATCAATATAGAATGGTCTATACAGCAAAATTCAATTCCAACAAACCAAATTTATTTGTCTCAAAACCAATATCCTACATATTGGTTGGGATACCAATAATCGTAACTCTTAGCGAACGGATTAACAAACGCTGTAAATTCTTAGATTAATAACTTATGATTGTGATATAATACTTTTTCTTCTACCTGATAAAATTTCTTTTTATAAATACGTATATTTTTTTATTATTAAGAAATAAAATCAAGAAAAAATTATCTAAATGGTGATGCAATGTTTAAATAAAACTTTTAAATTTCTTTTTTAATGGCACTTGCTGTCTACGGAAAATTGATTCAATTAAGAGAAATCCTGTTAAAATTAACAAAATTAATGTATTTGTTTTTATTCTTAATTTGTTTTGCGTAAAAAGAGGAAAAGTAAGGATAGAATCGAAGATTTTCAAATACTGCAAGTAGAAAAATGGCGTATTCGCTTCTTAAACGTAACGTAGATGAGTTCGAAGTCAAATCTTTATCTTTGAAATAAACTTTGAAATATCTAGTTATAAATTTTAAACAAGAAAGATCTCATTTATTCACGAATAAAAAAATGTTATCAAGAAATATTTTGTATAAAGATTCGCACAAGTTATTATAGTCAAGGTCCAAATTGTAAAATTAATAAAAAAATCTTGATTTACTATGTATATAAGGAGAAATAAATCACTTTTCACTAAATGAGAATGAGCGATTTTATTATTGCTTAATGAATACTAAGCATAAATGCTAAACCAGATTAATTAATAAAAAAGTTGATTTAAAATTTTTAGCAATTACTCGCAAAGTTATGCTTCAGTCAACTTAATGTCGAAATTGAGCCATTCCAAAAACATACGCTTCCAAATGAGCCCACCCTAATTAGAATCAGTTAAATATGCGCAAAGATGCATAAAAATTTCGGATCAAATAAGCTTCTACTTTCTGAAGTCGGAAATGACAGTGTGTATTTGTTGATGAAAGATTTTGTATAATTATAATATTATTTTTTTCATGGAATTCGTGGAAAAATTATTGCTATTACTAACCCAGTATCGAAGGAAAAATAATCGTGATTGTTGCTCTTTCTGATGATCATTTAAATTCACCATTCCCAATGTTTACGCCCGCCAAAGTATCACGCTTTATTCCATACATTATTAAGTTTTCAATTATAAGCTTGAATCAATTAGTATTAATCCAGCGATCAATTTGCATAAATCAGACGATGAACGACTTGATCGTATACTTTTCTCCTTCAACTCGTGAAACATATGCAAATAATTGATTTCAGAAGTTTTCAGAGCACAGTACAGAAATTCATCTTGTACATTTTGTTATCCTCATTTACTTTTATAGTTTTTGTAAACATCTGACCTAATTACCCTTTGTAATTACTTAAGGAATGAGGGATAAGTCAAATATTTACACAAAGTTTAAAATAAAAAAAGAATAACGTAATTTAAGAAAATATCGGTGACTATTCCCACAGATCCCCATGTATTTCATATGGGTACCTGTGGCTACGCCATCCTCTTAATTCGTTTGATTAATGTATATATCGCGACTCGCATACTTTTTGACGAATCATGAAAACTAAATACGAAGAAGTTGAGACGTGATTGAATTCTGTTAGTGACTTGGATTGATAAATCAATAAAATTTGATAAGAGCATAAGTATGTTTCAATCTAATTCTGATATTAATTACCTTATAAATATGTATTCTAATAGTCAAAATGAAGAAACATAATAGATCTAGATTCAATGAGTAATTTAATCCATTAGACAAACAAATTAACAGTTAATACATGGAAGTACTTCGTATTTCTTAGTATAATTTGGTGAAGTATTAAAGTTTTTAGTATCCATATGACTTTATAATTCAATATAACACTGAACATAATTGCCAATTGTTTAAGCCATATAATTAAGAAATGATTACGTAAATGCAATTCGCGATAAACCTACACATTTCTGTCATCAGACCCTCTAAATTACTGGTTTCTTCAAGAATGGATTCAGAAATCATCAAAATCTTATCCAAAACCATCATAGGTTTTCGATTCAAACTACGGGGTAACTAGATTTCTATAGAAATCGACTATATGTCGCCTCAAAGACTAACAGATTCTTGGTATTCGTTGGATAATACCGACTCAGCAAGCATACCCTCTGATATTTTCAATATTTCGTATTCGTAGAAACTCTAAAAACTTTCAAATGCCTTCTACACTCCAAGTAGTAATGAATTGTTAAAGAAGATATTCTTAGATTTGTTTTTGAATCTTTTTACCCGCAGACCCTCAAAGACCTTAAAATTCTCGCTACCGTCTTTCACAATATTATTTTAAGAATCAATGGTATAAATTTTTGTTTTTAAATGAAAAATTCACAAACTTCAGGTAATTTAGAATTCTTATTAAATAATTAAATAATTAAATAATTCTTATTAATTAAATAATTCAGAATTCCCCTATAATAATAAAGTTATTTGTAACTATAAAAATATTATTTAATAACATATTTTAATCAATATAGGATGGCAGATAACACAAAAAGTTAACGGCATTGTACACATAGATGATAATATTGTTATCATTTCAAGTGAAATGTAATGATTTAAAATGTCAGTTGATATCAGTATGTATTTCTTGAACTTGACGATTAGGTATGTTAAAAATAGCATTACAGACGCTATATAAGCGGCTACAACTTCTGTTTAATTGAGTATACTTGGTAATTTTTTTGTAAAGAATATGTATTTCTTAATTACTGGACTACTCTTCTACTGTGGAATTGCAGGTACATATTCAAATTTTCATCCATAATAATTGTAAAATCATTTTTAACTAAAATATTATTTAATAACACATTAAGTTATTAAAATAATAGAAATTTCAAAGCGATAATATAGAAGCCACAAATTATTTTCCATTGTACTAAACCAATATAAACGTATTAATGTAAAGCTTTTTTATTTAATGTCGCAAAATTTATGATTTTTAATGACAGAGTAATCTAGTTCTAATTATTATTCTAACGCTAAGTATCTAGTTATAATTTAGTTCTTACGTAAATAAACATTAATATTTATAGCTAGCGATGGTGATTTCTGGCAATCCCGCATTGCAAACTATGGCGAAATAGCGTCAGATGGGGAATTTCCCTACCAAGTATCAATTCAGTGGAATGTTTCGGGATCCTACATGCATATGTGTGGTGGTTCACTTATTTCGAAAAGACATGTGCTATCAGCAGCTCACTGTTTTCAAAATGATATTGATTCTGGTAGGTTCGCAATTCCTCTCACTGTCGAAGTAGGTTCAGCACTTATAGGTAACGGAACGAGGTACAAAATCCAAAGAGTATCGTACTACGCAGGTTATACGAAAGATTGGACAATCAATTTGTACGAAAATGACATTGCTATTGTCCACGTAAGTTTTTATGTAAATTAATTCAAAGGGTTTGAACTTGATATTAATTTGATGGTTTTATATTGCAGCTTAGAAAACCCGTTACAATCTCAAGTAAAGTGGCTACAATAAACTTACCAGCACCCTATACACCACTTGCTGCTACGACTCCAGTAATTCTCAGTGGTTTTGGCAGTACGTACTACGGAACTCCCGATGCATCAGGTCCAATGTCACCAGTGCTCAAGAAAATGGATGCTGTGATTGTATCCAGAAATGAATGCAACCAATATTATACGGAAAGATGGGGAAAGCATGTGGGTCTCGATAAAATTTGCGCAAAGAAAGGTCCAGGATATGGCGCATGCACGGTAATGACTTGTAAAAGATTTCTATTGAATTACCCCATTGACATCTAAATAAATCTATTACTTTTTAAATTCAGGGTGATAGTGGTGGGCCGCTAGTAGACAGTGAGAAAAAGACAGTCATTGGTATTGTTTCTGCCGGTGATGGAGAGTGCTCTAATGGAGAACCTGATACCTTCACTGATGTATCCCGATTCATTTCCTATATTAATGAAGAAATCAACTATCGCCCAGGGGCTGTTAATAAAAATCCAGCAATTAATGTGGGTTGGTCTCGACAGAATAATTGAAATTCAATTCCAACAAACAAATCAAAAACAATCAACTTGTGATTATTATGTAATACTTTCTCTTCTACCTGATGAGATTTTTCTTGTAAATATATTTTTTTAATATACATAAATAAAAGTAAGAAAAAATTATCTAAATGGTGATGCGATATTTAAATGATATTTTTTAAATCATTTTTAATGACATTTACGTCTGTGAAGAAAAATTTATTCTAATAAGGGAAACTCTATTCGTTCGACGAAATTAATCTAGTTGATAATAGGGTATTTCGATTTTCTCCTCTTTGTTCTTAAATTATTCCGCGCAAAAATATTAAAAGTAAGACGATATTTTCAAATACTTTAAGTAAGATAAATGGCATGGTCGCTTTCTTAAACAGAAGTTAGGCGAATTCGAAATCAAATCTTTATCTCTGGAATAAAGTTTTAAACACCTGGTTATAAATTTTAAAGAGGAAAAGAACTAAATTCATAATGTTACTCGATTTAAATCACGTAAACAATGAAAACTTGATACAAATAAGGAAATGATGTAATTCTGTTGATGACGTTGATTCATAAATCAATAAAAATTGATAAGAGCTTTAGATATGTTAGATATTAATTATGTTATGAATATGCATTAGAATACTCACAATAAGGAAACATAATATTTCTAGATTCAATAATGCGTAATTCATTTTATCAGATAAGCAAACTTAAGGTTAATCCACGGGAGTACTCTGTATTTCTTACCATAATTTGCTTAAGTATTAGAGTTGTTAGTATCCATATGATTTTACAATTGAATATAAAACTATGATCATAACTGCTAATTGTTCAAGTAATTTATTGGAAAATGATGATGTAAATGCAACCAGTAATAATCCAGTAATGAATATGGATAAATCAAATAGCGATATGACTGGTTCCTCCAAGAATGGATTTTAAAATCACTGAAATCTGACCATAAACACCATTGATTCTCGATTCAAACAATGTGGGTAACTAGGTTTCTGTGAAAATCGACAATCCGAAGCTGCCTCAAGGACTGACGAATTGTTAGTACTCAACGGGTAGTACCGATTCACCAAGCATAAGGATACCTTCTGGTATCTTCAATATTTTGTATCCGCAGGAAATTTAAAGGACGTTTATAGATTCTTGATACCCGTGAGGGTACAGCAAATCATCAAACATAGATACCCTCTGATGTTTACGAATCTTTGTATCAGCAGAACCTTCGAGGACCTTAAATTCCTTGGTATCTTTCTTCAAAATATTATTTTGACAAATGATGGTATAAACGTTTGTTTTTAAGTAGAAAGTTAACGAACCATTCAAGTAACAATTCAGTGTTCGTTATGGTATACTTAATATGTGATATACTTAAATTCCTGAAACTTAGTTCATCAAACAGTGAGTCAATCGCTGATAAAACAAATAACAGAGCAAGGATCGATTACTCGGTGGAAAATAGGCTGCCTCACGCAGAAAGCTGTTCAGTGGGCTTTTTTTTGCACGCGACTTCTTGACACGTGTGCGCGGT